TATTTCAATATTTCGATGATTAAATTGTCTTTTGTGAACAATGATTGATGATGCGTAAAAATAATATATGGGCATATGTGTGTGTCTATGTATTTATAAAAGCTATTATTGTTTAAATGTCATGCATATATATGTATATATGAATGTATATAGTAATGTATATATGTAAAATATAGAAACCGCGGCATGTGACGTCGATTGACATTAAAGTTTATCTTGTGACAGCCGTCAACTCGCACACTGGACAGCTTCGGATACCGAATGAACACGCTAGGGCACATAGTCAACCAACAATGCATACCGATCCGTCGTCTACCTCTTTGAACAATATAATATACGATGTATATAAATGTACTCTATATACATCTATATACACATAACAGCCGTATATTGTATGGCTACGATGGCACTTTGTAAAAGGGACGAATGTTCACTATAGCTGTCTATATCATTCTTAATTATCATTTAGATCAAATGTATAAATATATTATATTGTCATGTAGTTGGATATTTTCAAGAAGTACGGTTGTTAAATGTGATTGTTTCAGAATAAATTTATTAATATTTTTTTTTATCAGATATTGTATCAATGCCAATTTAATTTTTCAATAAAGCTTATTGTTAATATGTTTGTAACAATATTTAACTGTGTAACATTTTTCTTTAAATAAATTGATCACTAATTTGTAATTGTACGCGTCTTTTCATTTTTAAGGTAGTTGTAGTGGTTAAGGCATACCGTTAGAAAATTCTAATTTTTTGTATACTTATTAAGGACATAATGATAGTTACCCTAAAAATTTGAAGTCGGTTGACTACCGGTTGCATCGTAAAGCTCTTTTATCAAGCTTCAAATTTCATTCCTCAGAAGTATAACCCGAGATGAATTCTCTTTATATCTTTAAAAATATCTATAATTAAGAAATTACACTGTATCTCGTCACCTAATGATATTTTTAAAGATATAAGCTCATCCTAATGTTACCCTTATCGAGACCTTTCATTTGACTACCTACATGAATTTTTTATATATTTTATATATTTCACAAATATCAGAATTATCATATATATAAATATATAAAAATTCATGTGAGTATTCAAATAAAAGGTCTCGATGAGGGTAACATCAGGATGAGCTTATATCTTTAAGAATATTAATAATTGAACAATTACATTGTATTTTGTCACCTAATGATAATATTAAAGATTTAAGGTAGTTGTCGTGGTTACGTCATACCGTCAGAAAATTCTAAATTTTTGTATACTTATTAAGGACATGATGATACAATTACCCTAAAAATTTGAAGTCGATTGACCACCTATAACCCGAGATGAATTCAATTAAAAATTGGATACTTAACATTGATTGCATACGCTTTCTGCAGTTCTGTACCAGTTTCTTAGTTATAAAAAACAAACTAACCGTCAGAAACTTTCAAAAAACTGACACTCTTTTAATGTATTTGTTGTGAGTTTAAAAAAAATTAAAAAAAAATTTTTGACCGTCTAATTATTTATAAATAACGGATTAGAGTTCAACATTTATGAAAAAGTATATATCGGCGGAGTCGGACAGAAACAATTGTATGGGTTGCGTCTCCACGGGTACAGTTTTGCGTAAAAATTATGGATTACTTAGCTACAAGCTCATAAACTTTTGCGGCCCGTATAATTTCTAATTTTTTGACAATATTGTACCAAAACAACTACCTTAAGTTGTAATCTTTTACGTTCGATCAGTTTTTCGACTGTTGCCAAACTTATTTAAATTGGTTGATCTGATCAATGAATACTGAGCCAAAAAATTATTATTTCTTATTAAAATCGAAACAATTTCAATGAATCTGAAAGCCAAAATAGTTTTTCGAAGTTAAGATACTGTTGAATTATCAGATTTTTTCTTACAAAATAATGCAAAAAGTTTTGGAAATGTACACTGAATAGTAAGTTATTTGTTAAGATTTAAAAAATTTTAATCCAAACTTCTAAGATAGGAAGTTCGTAACGAAAAATTTCGGTTAATTGAAAGCTAAAAGATAGCTTAAGCAACATAAGTTATTTATAAAAAGGTTATTATCATCAATATTATTTTTTTGTGATGTCAAAGTGTGAAGATCGCAAGAAAGAGAATAAAAAGTAAAGGAGGTAATAGGGAAGAAACAAACAATTGCTGTTCTCCCTCGAGATCCTTAGATAGATATAAGCGGCTGAAACTTGGGATAAGAACTAATGGTTGGTTGTCAGAGGGCGGAGGTCGGCCATCTATCACTCGCAACTGTTGACCACCTTTGTCATCCCGTATGTCATTGTCCATTTTTCTTATTAGATTTGTTTTTCTGTAGTAAAAATCTCTATTTTTGATTAAACATTTGTTTCTATTCAGACAGCGTCAAATTGGAGCTTTTCTTGTAAACAACCATGTAACTAAATAACGATTATTTAATTTACAAAATAATATTACGACATTTATCCAATTACTGTCAGGAGCGCTACCTATTCTTCTTTAAATGTTTTCGACGAATTTCATCGCGCTCTTGGAAGTTTAAATCGAATTTTCTCCAAGGAAAAGGTTTCTCTGCAAAAACTCGGCAATTTTTCAAATTAGGGGCTCTATTTATGATTTTCGGGAGTTAAAATCATTAAAACCATGAAAATTACTGTATATATGCTTGTTGTACTGAAAGAAAAAATTTATTTTGAAAAAATGTATTGTTGTAATAATAAATAAAGTTTTTTTGCACTTCCAAGAATTTTTTAAGCTTTTTACTATCCGTATAATTCATTTTATTTCAATTCAAGATTATGATAAAATTTTAAAACCAGAACAAAGTACATTTTTCCATTATATATATATATAAGTTCATATATGAACTTTACATACTATACTAAAGTTTTCTCGACAACTTGCAGCATCGATTCGTAAAAGAGTTATGGAATGTCTTAAAGACAAAGAGGACGATTACAGTGTAGTTTGTACAGCGTATATAAAGATAAAACCATAAAATACGCAATAGAAAAATGTCGAGAGTGAAAAAGTGAGTGAGATCCGGCGAACGAATGTAGCGTATGTGATTTAGGGGAGAGGTTTACTCCCACCCACAACGCTCTGAGAATATGAGTTATTGCGCCATATAATTCCATAATTCAGATTCATACCCAGAGTTTACGGTGTCTGGGTAACAAGCAGACTGCGCCCGTTGTTTTATGGCCTTTGCTCTGCTCTGTTCTCTTCATCTCGTCTATGCTCTTTTCTCCATATCACCATTCCCTTCTCTTGGGTCTTAACTCTTCTGTATTTTTTATAGTTTATTTTTTCCGTCATCTCTTTCGTGTTATATGCCGCTCTTTTCCTTTATCGCTTCTGGGGTAATTATTCTTTACATCGGCCCCAAATTCATAATTCATGCGTCATTACTCATTATTTACGGCAATAAATCATTTAATAAAAGGATAATAAGTCTATTTTACAAAAGTTTAGAAAATCCAAAAGTGCACGCCTCATAAACTCATTTTCCATAATAAAATTGAATAAAATACAATACTTTTAAATCTTTCGCGCCATTGTCCACCCAGAAAAGAAAGGTACTGCGCATGTGTTGTAAACGAACCTTATTTACGTAGATATGGATATGCAAACGATAAGTGGATTTTAGTTTATTGCTAATTAAAATTAAACTACATTGAATTGGACCGTGATCTTCGAAAGGACTTAGTTTTGGATAATACTGAAGCGTATAAAAAAATGGATTTGATCAGTTAAGTTTTTCGGCAGTTATCGTGATCGCGCCAGTTTCCATACACACATCAGACACACGGACGTCCACGGAATAATTTTTTTAAACATTTTTTTTATTTATTTAAAAAGCAAAATGTCTTTTAAAAATGTCATAAGTGTTGAAACTAGTGTTTTTCCACGACATTTACGTGTAAATATTATTCTACAAGTGCGATAGAAAATAAATAGAGACAATTTTAGTTAAAAAAATCACTTGATTTTTGTAAGGTGAGAGTAGAGCACTACCTCGTCCGCTTTGCTTATGAGGCGTGCAAAAATATGCATTGAAATAAATTATTAGAAATAGTTTATTATTTTATGTGATTTTTAATAAATCTATGTATTTACAATACATTTGTTTAAATTATAATTAAATAGATTACATTCACATGTGATATAGTGAGTTAAATTATTTTATTTTCGTGTTAAACGATCTCATACTAAGTGAAACTTTGGTTACGAAAAAATAGATCGTAGTTTGTAATACATTAATAAAATTGAATTTCTTTGTTTATACATGTATCTAGAAATTGCATGAGTATTTAATTTACAGTAATTACATTTTTATACGCTACATATATTAACATGACTGTAAAGTTATTAAAGTGTGTTGTAAAATTTAGAATAATTTTTTATTTAATTATTCTTTATTAATAATTTGAAGAGATCAAGATGTAGGATTAATTAAGTACAAAATCATTTATTTTTTTTTTAATGATGTAATTTTGGACAGTTAGAAAATATATAGGGTTTAAAAAGTTATTGAGCTATATAAAAAAATAGTAGAATATATACTTGAGTTTTTTTTCCACAATTTTATAGAATATTGTGTTACAGATGCCATGAGCATATTAAAATAATTTTTTTTCACCAAAAAAAGTAATCATTTTCGCTTAGATATTTTTAACATCTTCGAAAAGTTATTATGACGGAACAATTGTAACGAAAAATCAATATTTTTTAGTTTTATATTTTTTTTAACAATAATTTTTTTTTACTGATACGATCATATAGCATCTGTAATGTGATATAATAATTAGACGTTATTATTGTCAAATCAAAATATATTTTTTTCATTAAGTTGGTCGGAAAATTTTATTAATTATTTTTAACATCTTGATAAGAAAATTGAGTTTCCAAAAAAATAGATAATTTTATCAGAGTTTTTTTTTTATTAAGAAGTCTAATTTTTAAAGTTTCTAATGGACCTTTAGAAAAAATAAATTTAATTACTAAATTATAAAAAATAATTTTAATAAAAATCAAGATTTACAAATTTAACCATTTTTTTTTTACACCAAAACATGTCTTTTAAAATAGACATAGATCACCATATTCTGTAGAATTTAAACTTTGCATCAATAAATTTCCATGCATCTCACCTCAAGTCTGATATAACTTTCTAATCACTTTAGAAAAAACGTTAAAAACTTATAAATAACTAAACAAAAAATCAATAGTTACAATTTAAAAATGTAAACTCCACTAAAATCACAGTTATTTAAATGTGGCTAGAATTAAAGAAGCCTCAATGGTGTAGACCAGAAGTAGCGCCAAGTCGCGGTGTTGGCCCAAAGAATGCATAAGGCGACAAATATGGCGGCAAAGAAGCAGCAGCAGCCGCAGCAGCAGCAGCAACAGGATGCGGAGCAGGTTGCATCGTGTGTAATCCAAAGGAAGATAAGGATGGGTGTAACAGTCCAGGAGTTTTCCCATACGGATGATAACGTGCTGTTGCAAGCGGACTCAAGGGTGGTGTCGGATAGCTACGGGAGTACAGTGGATGTCCTGGTGGTAATCCCGTAGGTGTAAGAAAAGACAATCCCGATTCACTTGTAACACTGGTGTGACTTCTCAGATGTTGAAGCAATTCTTCAGAAGATGAAAACCGTTTGCCGCAGTAACTTGTATCGCCAGCGATCCAATTACAGACATACGGCAATTGTGATGCAGCCGCAAGTGCTGCTAATTGTGCATGTGCGTAAGCAGCCATTGCCGAATTGTGTGCATTCATTACAGATCCGTATGGATTCGTTGGTGGTGTTTTAATATGATCACACTGAATACACCCAGCAGGACAAGATCCGTGCACAATACTGTTAACGTTAGCAATGCTAGCACTTGTTGTTGCGGTTGTTGTTGATAATTTGCTGTAACTAGTAGTTGGTGCTGCTGTTGATGTTATGGGATTTAGTAAATGTGAGCTATATTGGCAACCAGTACAATAGGGATCACGACAAACTGGTGAAACTAGTGGTGAATCTGTGGGACCATCAGCGCTTGTACCTTTCATCCGCGAATAATTTAAATACGGATTAAGGGTATTGACGTTTTTTAACGTAGGTACATGATGTAGGGACATGAGGGAGCTTGTCATTACGTCTATTGGCAGGGGGTAGCTGAGGTACGATGATGTAGATACCGCTGTCGGAGTAGATTTAAACACACCGAGTGGTAAGTCCTTGATAGATGGATCCAATAATAGATTTGATGAGTATGGAGATTTTGAATCCAGCTGGAGTGATTGATGCATTTGCGATGATACTTCGCTGCTTGTTCGTGACAAAGGAGATTCTCGTGTTACCTCGCTGGTACCATTTGGTGTTGATGTTTTCCGACCTTGTGGTGTTATAGCGCGTGATGAAGCACTTTGATTGCTCGAGCACCTTTTAGTGCTGGGTGTTCGAGATCTTCCTTGAGTAATCGAATTACTGGACGGCGCACGTTGCTCTTCTGGACTGGACGTTTTTTCATGAAATTCTGAGGATTGTTTTGAATTTGGTTTTGATTCGCTGTTACTTGTTACGTTGATTATATTGTTTGGAGATGATTTGTCACGTGCTTCTAAACGCTCCATTGACTTTGATGATTTACCAGACGACTTATCTTGTGAGGAATGGAGGGACTTTGATGATGCCGGTGGATCTGCGCCAATTTGACTGCATGTTTGGGCTAGCAATGCCAACGGGCTTTTTTTTGCATCCAACTGCAATAAGAAAAATTTTTTAAGTAAAATCTATTGATGTTTTTCAGTAACTTTTTTTTATTGAAAACTAGCTATTACTCGCCCGTTCCGCTGGGCGCTTTATAGAATTACATTTTTAGATCTAGACTTGAAATTTAATTAGAGTATTGTTTTGACTTGCACAGATTCTTAATTCGATCGAATTGGCATGCACCTTTTATCCATGTAATTATTCTAGCTAATATTCATTGTAACTTTCAATGTGCAACCATTATAACATTCCTATGTCTTTCTTACAAAAATGAATAATAATTGATTTAAAAAAAAATTGGTAATGAGCATTGAAAGTTTCAGTTCAAGAAATTGCAGGTCTCATAAGTGAATAAATCTGTCTAGTATATAAACATACCCAATAGAATAAAAAAATTTATTTTAAACAAATGACAATCGAATAGAATAAATTTAGTTACAATAAAATTCATTATTTCTAAGTCAAAAAAATATAGGCTCCGGATAAGTAATCACCAACATATCATATATTAAATAAAACCTTTTCCAAAACACGCTGCATCTTATGTTATAAGTTATAAGTATTATTCCGATCGGTTCAGTAGTTTTCGCAGTATAACCGGACAAAAAAATCGGCTCTCCATTTATTAGTATAGATTAAGCTTGATTAAAAATTACGATAGCTTCTTTGATTATTTCTTCGTTGTTTTTTCTTTTTATAGGAGAAAAAAGGGTAAAAGATGCTCTATTACACTTGACGAAAAAAAAATTCTTTTTTTTTTCAATTTCCCTTTAAAAATATATTGATAAATTTTGTTTAGTTCTAATAATTTCAATATTTAAAAAGCTAAAATAAAATCGAGTAAAATTTTCTTCTGTACATGTAAAAATAATTTACAGAAGTCGAAATTTAAAAATATTACTAACGAAGGTAATTCTAATTTTGAATTAAAATACATTAATAAGTTGAATGAATAAAATTTTAATAAACTAACCGTAGTCGGTAAAGGTGTAAGATATTCCGGACGAAGATACTGATTTGCACTTGAAGTTAACATTTTATCGCGGCAATTCAGCGAATTGATTAATTAATAATTCATCTATTCATTAGCCAGGTCACTGCTTTCCACTTAGTATTTATAAACTCAATAAAACACTGAAAAATTCACTTAACACATTAATAATTATTAAATAAATAAATAAACCAGCGTTTTAAGTAACATTTACAACAATTATTTCACTTGTGGGTTTGTATCACATAAATCCAATGAAAATATTCTGTTTTTCAACATGTTTTATCAAATTAAATGAAAAAACCTTCCACTACAACATGGTAAACATTAAATAATGAATAAACTATAGTTTATTAATAATTGAAAACACCGACGTTATCTAGTTGGATTCTGAAACACGACTGATCTGTAGTTGGTAGTAGAACCCCGCCGATCTTACCCCACTACGCTAATCCAAGCGGACTCTGGTACAACATTTCCCCCACCACAAACAAGTCTCCAAGGAGACAATCCCCTTCCTTTGCGTTTCTGCCCTCACTATCATCACATCCTTGATTACCCTACTCCTCTGTAGATTCGTACAGAGCTAAAATCTCCCTCTACATCCCCCCACAACTGGAATTCCCTTTCTCTGTATCAAATACTATAATCATTCTCTTGTGGGGAATTCTTTCCCCTACAAGTACAATAACTACCACGACACGGTGTCGGTCGTGTCCCGGCGGTCGTTGTCGGTTCGCGCCCTGCCGACACTTTTACTGAGCACAACCGACCTGGCCAACGACGTGTCAACTTGTACGGAAACCCACCACTACCACGTCATCTTAAACTTTACCTCCATACTAAGTCTATATAGTCTTCTCTTTCTTTTTCACCACTCTGTTTTACTCGAATCCCTTTCTCCGTCTATCTATTTACCCTTTCGTCGCACGTTTAACGCGATTTTCCACTCGGTCATTACTAAGATAATTTGCTACTCGTCTGACTGTTATTAAATTGATTAAATCTACTTATTAAATACGCGATTCACTCAAATGTATATAATTTGCGGTTTAAAACATGATGCACGGTAATCTTTAGAATTTTTTTGCTGAAACCATTTACTGTTTTTGAGAACTTTTTAGAATTGATATTCTTTAAGTTAAAATAACTTGCAAACTAATATTTTTCCTTTTAATTCGAAACAGTTATTTTATTTTTGAACAATTTTGCCCTATGTTTGGCCATAGAAATTTTTTTTTTTGATTGTTCGTTTTTTTATGTATTTTTCAAGAAAAAAATATATCAAAAAAAGACAAAATAGAAATTTTATCCAAAAACATGAAAGCCAATATTTTTTTTTTAATTTTTAAAGGCAGAAAAGCTATCGAAATCTTTATTTTTTTCCTTTCACGATATTTTTTATCACAAATACGTCGTAAAAACTAGCAGAATAAAAAAATTTTTTAAAATGATAATTTTTCACCTAGTTATAGCCCAAAATTTCTTAATTCCAAACATTTAAATAAAGAAAAAAAAATTGTGTATTCTGAGAGGAAAAATTTCTTTTGAATAAATCCAGCAATATTGTAATATATCAATTTGTTAAAAATTAAAAAAAAAAATTATTTTTTACACAGAAAAAAATTACTATTCTTAAGAAAATTTTCTTGTCTCAAGAATTGATCGAATTAATTTTTGTTTTATTCAAGTGAGCCTATTCGTTTGTTAATCTATCAAAATTAATGCCAATATTTTATTATCATGATAGATATTGATATTTTTTTATCAAAAAACCAAAACTTCTTTTAAACGATTCTTGAGCCAAGAAATTTTTTTCTGGACAAAAATTTTTTTTTCTCAGTGTAGCTTACTTGTTAAAAAAAAATTTTCTAGATTTTGCCTATTTAAAATTGTTTTTTTTTTTCCAAATCTAGAAAACTTTTTTTCGAAAAAAAAAATTACTATAAGAAATATTATTTCTTCAGCTAAGCAATAAAATTATTTAAAATTTTAGACAAATTAGTTTCTCATTACAAGATTGCTCAATTTAAAAAAAAATTTTTTTCTCAGTGTAAATAAAAAGAGATTCGACCAAAAAATTTTTAATATCTATTCTTTACATTTAAATAGTTATTTATGTAATATAGTTTTCTCGATTAGCTAAGCTGTTATCACAACAGTAATTAAAAATAATAACATCTATATAATAACGTTTATCATGGTCATAATTTGCAATTATCAACGACAACGTTAGAAGTAGCTAAAACACGAACAACTAGACTGGACATTATCTTTCGTAATTGGACATTTAAAAAATATTTTTTAATGTTCTCCGATAAGTTGTCTTTAAATTTCATTGTTAAAGAAATTGTAACTTTTCCTGCATTTAAGTTAATAAGTATGCGAGTTAACTATAATAGATAGGTTGATTGCTATTTAAATTGTTCAATTATTTATACCGATTGGCAGTTGATAATGATACCAAGTATACTACGATAAATAACGAAAAATTACGTCATTGAAAATATTGATACACAGAAAAAAAAATTTCTTGACTGGAGAACAAAATTCATGGTTCAAAAAAATTTTTGGGTGCCTGAAGAAAGACTTGAGAAAATTTTTCTCTTGAATATTTGATACCCATTTTATATTATTTTAGCGTGCAATAATACATATTGAATGAAAAAAAATGATTCAATATTATTTGACCTTCTCATTTGACATGTTAATTAATAAAAATATTAATGAAAATTTACTTCTATCTTTATATTTAATTTTTTGGAGTAAGAGAGAAATTTTTTCAAGACAATAAAATTTACTTCTATCAAGACCTAAATTTTTTGAAGCAAGTGAATTAATTTTGTTGGAATAAGTGAAATTTCTTGTGTCAAAAAAAAAATTTTCATTTTGCTCAAGAAAATAATCAGGAAGAAAAATATTTTCTTGGCTCAAATGAACCTTTTTTTCTGTGTATGTTTTAATAATTCTACCATCGACGAGTCTGAGCTTCTTCAGTTGATTAATAATCAAGAGTTTATTAATACATACTGAATAAAATTAATTTTCTCGATAAATAAGAGTACTTACTTACGGGAATAATTGTTATGTGACAATTGAAATTGATAGTGATGATTAAAATGTTGAGCTAAGTATTAAATAAGCAAAATTAAATATCGTGTAGGCAAAAGACTTTAGTGAAAGATATATCATACAACATAGCAGCAGAGAGACAGATAGATGTGTATAACGTCTCTGTTCGTTGTCGTCGTCCGCGCTGACTTGCATCCGGTTATTTATTACTTTACGACGGCCACAAAAAATAATTACATTTTACGACGTTGATCTTGAAGCGATTGCTTTGATCTCCGCCGGTTAAGTAATGCGGGCCAATATAAACGTAGTGACCGTTCATCTAATTATATTGATACATATAAATCTTTACACGTGTACACATACACATGAAAGATATTTGTGAGTAAAATTATGTTGAAAAAAAATAAGTTTTATTAATTTATAAAATATTACTTTAGACTTTTCGAAGAAGTCTTTGTACTGGTACAAACATACTATGTTATACTGATCTAATGATTTATTTAATAGACAGAGATGCAATATGCGAGGATTAATATATATTATTTATTATATAACTACCACTTCGTATAATCAGCTCATTTTAAAATAATGAGCTTATAAGTCGTATGTTTAATAAATCATTTAAAAAATTACTTTTTAAATTAATTAAGAATGATATCTTTAGACAAATTACGAAGCATTTTTAGAGTTCTTTTATAGAATTTTGCGCTTTTTTTCTTAGTGAAAAAAAATTTTTTTTTGATTCTGCTCATTTGTACGGCAAAGAAAAAAAGGTCCACTTGAGCCAAGAAAATA